TAGCCTCAATGGCTGAGGCTCCCAGGAGAGTCACCAACCGACTCCCACCAATCCCTAGCCATGTCCCTCAAACAACCTGCAGCATATCGAACCTTCGACCTCTCAGGGCAGAAGCTCGTCAACTGTGCAGACTCGATGTATGCAATCCATCTCCTGGCCACGATGGGATCCTTCTCCCCATGGAAATCTGGAGCACCACTCCCCCCTGAAGTCCTTAAAGGACAGCGTGCGCGACCCTGACTGGCTAGACGCCCAGTCACTCCTAAACGCCCTAAGGCGATCCTCCATCAGCTCAATAATCCCTTCCTTGATCGACCCGAAAATCACTAGGGTCGACTCAAGGATGCTTCTAGTGATCTTAGAAGCAATGAACTCACGTAGTCCCTCATCAACTGGCTCGACACCTGATCCCGAACCCGATCCTGATCCTAATCCCGATCCTGAACCTCCTCCTCCATGTCGCGTAATCATCACCATTCTGAAACAAAACACATAATCGCCAGGGTCATACATAACCTCAGGAGGTCTCACATACTACAAGTTCCCTGGTTCTACCTCAGCCCGGCCTTGACTCGAGTACGGATCCTCTGCTTTTAGTAGTACGGGCCCATACTACCTTCCACATCTATCCGTACTTTCCTCAAGGATTGCCTTGAATTCACCAAGTCCCTTTCACTACTACTGCTCACTGCACTAATCTCATCCTAGGCGTACCCTAGGGTAACTCTCCGACCTACTCTCTGCCATCAGCTGCATAAGGAATCCCTGCTACCTTTACCTAACTAGCTTGCGAATACCATTACATATCACTAAGACCAGATAATTCTTCGAATGAGAGGTCCTACCCTACAACGGTTGGACTCAAACAAGAGCTGTGAAATAGGGCTAGACCTAACCTTCTGAAATTATTTAGTCCTCGCAATATGTAACTTAACGTATTCGTTTACTAGTTAGTTAAAGATAACTAGAACTCCTAAAATCACAAAGCAAGCAGCATTCGAGCATTGAGTAACCATACCAAGCATGTCCTATTCAGCCATCATATTACTGACTAATCAGTTCTAGCAGGTAACTCAATAAGCACATATAACAGGCACATAAGGCATCTTCCTAGACCCTTAGCCCTAATCTAGCATGCAGTTCTCATACACATATAATAGGCATACAAGGCATCCTTCCTAGATCCTTAGCCCTAATCTAGCATGCAGTTCTCATAATCATATCACATCATAACATAACATGTATGGGTATCTTGGGGAAAACTTACTTGAGCTCGGTCGGTTGCACGCATCACACACCTTATTCTTTCTCAAAACTCCTTGTTTTAATCTTTTAGAAAACTATTTTCTGGTAAAAATGTTTCATACCCTCGATTTGAGTTCAGACACCCCCGAAGGTGTGTCCGAATCCCTCAAACCAAGGCTCTGATACCAACTTGTAACATCCCAATTTTCAAGACCAAAACTTTCATTTTTAATTAAGTGATTTATAAAACCATTTACTGAAAAACAACATCAAAGATCATATCAAACTCATAACCCATAAGTCAAATGTCATAAAAACATGTCATGGAATAATAATAATGTCAGAGTACAATCCCAAGGACATCATAGTGCGGAAATCGGGTGTGTGTGCGATGCGCTGCTACCGTGCCGGCTCCTTCCCCTTCGATGAAGAGGTACCTGAAAACAACACTGTAAATTGTAAGCGTGAAGCTTAGTGAGTTCCCCCATCATACCACATACCACCTAATGCCTATTTTTCGGTATCTTTCAACCGGTATCGGTCTGGCATAGCTGGGAGCTGGGCTCCCCTTCGATATCTTTCAACCGGTAACTGGGAACTAACTTCCCCTTCGGTATCTTTCACCCGGTAACCGGGAGCTAACCTCCCCTTCGGTATCTTTCAACCGGTAACCGGGAGCTAACCTCCCATTTGGTATCTTTCAACCAGTAATCGGGAGCTATCCTCCCTTTCGGTATCTTTCAACCGGTAACCGGGGACTATTTCACCCCTACCACTACCACATAATAACATATCATGATCATACTGCTAGGTATGCACGGGTACTATCTACCCCTTCGGTATCTTTCAACCGGTAACTAGGGATTATAACACCCCTATCACTACTAACCCATAAATCATAGCATCCTAGTGCATAAAGCATATCATATAGCAACATACCAGACAAATATCACAGAGACAATCATCTCTACTACAATCAATTACTAGTGAGCCGGCCTTGGTGCCTTAGACCCACTTCTATTGGAAGGTAACTCACCTCGATTTCGTGCAGTCTGAATTATCCTTGATGCCGGGATCAACTCCTCTCAACTCCTGCACATAACAACCTTCCTTAATTTACCCTTACATACCCTTAACCCTTACAAGGGTTACTCAGGTCAAAGCCAAAGTCAAAGTCAACTTTGGGTCAAAGTCAACGTGTGGTTGACTCAACTCGCCGAGTCCCCAAATCCTCAAAACACTAGAACCTCGATCCTACTCGCCGAGTATTGCACGCACTCGCCGAGTTCTCCTTCATACAAAGTCGGGACCTTCTTCATCTGACTCGCCGAGTTCATCCTTGAACTCATCGAGTCCTTCTTCATGCAAGAAGACACATTTAGCCCTGTACTCGCTGAGTTCCTTATGAACTCGTCAAGTACACCTTCATGTAGTTGGGACTTGCCTTGAACTCACCGAGTTCTGTTCTTGAACTTGCCGAGTTCCATGATTTCCAGGTCCAGTTTCACATCTATCTTGTTGAGTCCTCTTCTAGACTCAATCAGTTCGATCCAAGCAGAAAAGGGTTGGGGAACCACACCCCGACTCGTCGAGTCCTAAGAACGACTCGCCGAGTCCCCCAAAGTTAATTTCCATATAGTTGATTTCAGTCAGGTTTAACACATCCAAAACATAGATCTGGCCTCCTAGGGTCCATAATACACGTAAAGTTACAAACTTGACGTTCATGCATGGGGTATTTGGCTCAAATGGCCCTAAAATGGAGTCTACAAGATGCATGGGGTTCTTATGGCAATAAAGTTGGCACCTTTTGGCCATAGGAACCCTCGATGGTTCCAGATCTGAAGTCATACCCCTTTATAACTACAAAATCCCGAAAATGGCACTTCTAAGGCTTAGAAAAGGTAGAAATGAACCCTAACTAGAGATATAAGAGATAGATGGTCAAGGTTTTAGCTTTATACCTCAAATGAGCTTGAAATATGCCAAAACCTCTGGATCTTCTTGCTTCCTCTTGATCTCTCAAGCTTCCTTCTCCTTCTCAAACTTCAAATACACACAAATGGCACCAAAAAGCTCAAGAACACTCAATAAATGATTAGGGTTTCGAGTTAGGGCTTTTCTGGACTGGGAGGGACGATGGAGGCTGGGTTGGGACAAGATAAGGTGCTTAAATAGGGTGCAAACCCTAAATATTAGGGTTTCATCCAGACAGTCCTACTCACCGAGTCGGGCTCTCCGACTCGTCGAGTAGGTTGCTTAAATCTCGCGTCCAAGAGTCTAGTCTAGTCGACGAGTTGGGCCTCCAACTCGCCGAGTCCCAGTGTAAAAATCCAATTACTTTTATTTAAATACGTACCGGGAACCGGGCGTTACAAGCTGCCTCCAGAACCCCGTATTCCCGAGTTCACATTTATCACTCTGAATGTGCATCACACACCTCTAGTCTCGATGAGTAACTAGAACTCAACTTATCTCAATATTAATAATAACTATAGTAAAATATGTTGATAACACTAAAATTACCAACACTTACAATATCATGGAAAAGAAAAAATCATAGTTCCATAATACTTATGTCCTAAAACACTTAGAAAAATACCCATCTCATCTCAAGTTTGAAAAAAATTTGATGAGACATGATAGTATTTATGGGTATATATAAAAGTTACCAATTTATGATCGCACAAAATAATATACAAACAAAAACAATAAATTATACATGTGCAATGTGTTTATAATTCTAATCATCGTACGTATTAGAATTCTTATCATCATATGTGTTTACATAGATTCTATTTGGTATGGTAAAAGTTAGTGTATCAATAAGTTATCTTAATATATCTTATTAAGAAACTAACTTATAAGGTAGTTTATAAGTTATTTTAGTGGTCTTAATAAATGTTAAATAACAATAAACTAATTTATAAACCAACTTATTTTTGTTAAACAAAACCTTATAGTTTTGTTATGAAATAACTATTTATGTCCACATTACTCTTTTAAATATACATTTGTCATATTTTGTGCATGATAAACGATACAATGTTCATTTCCTATGATGTTGAAAACGAATACAAATTTATGTTTATATTTTTTCTAATTGTAAAATAAGTACTTTACTCAACATTATCCAAACAAATATTTTTTCTTTAACAATTTTATCTATCATAAAATCATAAACACGTGATAGGACCAACGTGATTACGTGGGCGTATAAAAGTAAATAAGTTTCACTTTCTCTCTTAGTTAAAAATGAATGACGTTCAACTGTAAACGTTTTTTTTTTTTTTTTCGATTAGTCTTTTAATACACCAAAAATAAAGTACTTGAATTTTTAAATTTATTTTCACGTGACACATATTTGAATCACGAGGTCAATTAATAAACACAAAAGTCACATGGTTAATTAATATACTACCCCCACCATACACAAGCAAAAGTAGATAAATTATTTATAATATGAAACACAAAAGAAAGTGTTCAAAAAAATTACTTAAATCCCTAAAGTGCGACTTGTATATTTGGATGCTTCTATAACTAAAATTCAAAAGTTTACCACTTTTCCCCATGATTTTAAAGCCAAAAAGAATATGGCACATAAACAAAGAAAAAGTTGCTCATAATGTACCTTTTCTTAGAATTAAAATTATACAATATATATTAACTCTCAAAAATTAGTATACTGAAAAATCATTCTGACAGTTCAAATCCAACCACCAACTCCCATCATACCATATCAGATTCATGTCATCATGTGTCATTTTCTATTAGCAAACACACGAGCACAATACAAGATTTTAGCTACAAAAGAAGAAGAGCGGAGGAAGGGGAGAGGAGTTGTGAAAGAAGAACAAAAAATGGTTTTAAGGCAATTATTTTGTGTTGTGTTTGTGATCTTATTGTTGTCAGTGGCTTCACCGTTGATGAGAATCAATGCAAGACGAATACGTAAGCCAGATAATGGAGAGGATGACCAAAAAGGGTTACCGAGTATGCTACCAAGAGGTATAGTGCCACCTTCAGGTCCATCACCATGCCATAACATGCTTTATCACAAGCCAACCCGTTTTGCTCCACCTCCACCTCCACCTCCTTTTGATCCGCCGGTTCCATCTTCTCCTCCACTTACTCCGCCTCCTCTTTCCCCTCCGTTTCCTTTTCTGTTTGATCCTCCTCCTCCGCCTGCAGACGAGATCATTTGTCCGTGAATATGGTTGATCCAAACGTTGGAACTTGCATAGAATAACTTACAAATTTTATGTTTGAATCTTGGGCTTGTGTATTGATCAAAGATGCACCAAAGTATCACCCCATGAAGTATGATCTCTTGGACCTAAAGAATAATCGTTGTGGTCACAATTTTTTTTTTTTTTTTATCTTTTAGCTTTTTTTTTTTTTTTTTTTAGTTTAATTCTTCTTGATTTAGTAATCTCATTTACTGTCTTCTTCTTTATACATCAAGATTTCTTTTTTTTTTCTTTGGCCGTGAATTTCTGTAGTGAAGTAATTGTCTTTAATGTATTGTTTTGACTTTATAAACTATCATTTCACATGATTAGTATTAGTAAGTATGAGTTTTATGTACATGCAAACGTACTGAGTGAGAAAGTCTATACAACTTGAATCACATGATAGACTATAGAGCCTAGTTTACGCTAATATTTGTTCCAATCTGTTTAACAAGTTCAAATGGATTTTTCCTTTTTACTAGTTCTAATGTCGGAATTAATTAGGCATCGAGATTGTAGACATCTACTAATCATGACATGTTAGAAAAAATATTCTTTTTTACTAACTCGTTTATAAAATATACGATCTGTTCACTTGGGTAAGATTTGATAAAGTACTCATTAATAAAATATATGATCACTATTTGATAGGGGTAAGATTTGGTAAGCATAACGTTGAAATGCTGGGGATTTAATCATAGGTGGACAGGAGAACCCATTTATAAAATATCTATTCTGTTTTTGTATGTTCCAAAATAACTAATCGTTAGGGCTGTGCATGAGTCGGTTTGGGTCGGTTTTGGACCCAAACCCAACCCAACCCATAAATGGTTGGTTTCTGGTTTTCAGAACTCAATAGGATCGGTTTCTGGTCGGTTCGTTTTCTCGGGTTCTGAGGTTGGTTTGGGCGGTTTTTCGGTTTCTTGGGTTCAACCCATACATTCACGGGTTCTGGGTTTAAACCCATGGGTTTTGGGTTTTAACCCATTTTCCATAAATGAAGCGACAAGTTAAATACTTCAAAAAACACCAAATTTAAGTTAAATATTTCAAAAAACATGAATCTTACAACAAATAGTCTATTACAAGTTAAAACCAAAGCCCGAAATAGTCTATTAAAACAAAAAAAACAATCAAGTATGGGTCGGTTTTTTCGGGTTGGATGGGTCGGTTTCTTGGGGCGGTTTGTCGGTTTTAAGTATGATCAGTTTCTCAGGTTGGATGGGTCGGTTTCTAGGTAAAAACCGAAACCGAACCCGATTTTTCGGTTTTTAAAAAAATCAAACCCTAACCGTCGGTTTTGCTTCAGTTTCGGTTTTTTCGGTTTCGGTTTCGTCGGTTTAGTCGGTTTCTCGGTTTCTTGGTTTGGGTTTGCTCACCCCTACTAATCGTCATATTGTTTTATTTTATTTATTTATTTATTTTTATTTTTTTAACAAATAGAATTCTTACTATTTATAGTCCATGTCATAAAATGTTATTTTTTTAATCAACGGAGATGATAGTTTTTTGTAATATATTCATTTTATTTAATGTTATTGCTTTGTTTCTTTTCTTTTTATAAATATTTACATATGTGCAATTTAGTACATATGTGCAATTAGATGAGAGAGCTTTGTAAAACATTTCATAAGGATGACGGTGACTAGTTAATTTTAAACAACTTTTTAAAAACATTTTATAAGGATGACGGTAACTAGTTAATTTTAAACAACTTTTTAAAAATGATAATTACATATTATAATGAACACATTGAGTAAAAAAGCACTCAAGAAAACCCTCTCGTTTGATCATTGGCCAAAATCAATCTCGTCCATTTAAACTCGTTATTTTGCACGTCCTCTGATACAAACTCATTTCTAGATGACACCGATCCAACACATAGCAGCCCAATTACAGAGGTTAGCAGGCCCAGACGGATCACAAGAAAGTGTGCAAGGCTTTTGGACGAAGGGGAAGTCAAGTATCTCAAGCAATGAAGAATTGGTCAGATATGGAAGAAGTCTCCTGCATTTGCATTTTAGTAGTAGTTGCATTAATTTAGCATCACGTTAGTTATCACTCCTAAAGGTCCATGACCATCCACTAGTTCCTAGATTATAGCATGGTTCTACATATTTATTTGATGTAACGTTCATTTGTTGGTATGAAAAAAATTGCTACATTCTCTTGTCTGTCATTCAGGGAGACTTGCCATCTCAAATAGGAATCCATCAATTTGGTGCTTTGATTGATACACTTACCACCAACATGAACACCCTCGTGTCCCTCTTCACCAACGAAACACAAAACTCGCCACCACAACAACCACACCCACCCCACCAACAACCTCCCTCCCCCCCCCCCCCCCCCAAAAAAAAAAAATAATAATAATAATAATAATAATAATAAAATCTCTCTACCCAATTTTGACGGCTCCAACCCGTTAGATTGGATTTTCCAAGCTAACGATTATTTTGATTATTATAATATGCCTAATAATCAACGACTTCCCTTGGTTGTGTTCTACTTTACAGGTGAGACCCTCAACTAGTATAAGCATCTAGCTAGTAATCACTTGCTCACCACATGGACAAACTTTTGTCGCGATCTGGAACTCCGATTTGGCACGTTCTCTTACGAGAATCACCAGGCCAATCTTTTCAAGCTCCGACAGGCATCCACGGTGGTGGCATATCAAACTGAATTTGAAAAAACAAGCAATCAGGTGGATGGCCTCATACCAGTTGCTATCTGTAACTGTTTCATCTCCGGGCTGCACACATATATCCAAAACGAACTAGCCTTACACAGCCCCACTTCACTTCATCAAACCTACGGTCTCACCAAACTCATAGAGGAAAAACTCAACTCACCCAAACCCCGCCAGTCCCCATACAGATCTTACTCAACACCCTTCTCTAACACACAATCCACCCCACACAATCCCTCACTAAACCCAACAATTCGACACCTCTTCTCACTACTCCACCACCACAAACAACACTCCCATTCAACCGCTTAACACCAGATGCACTCCAGAAAAGGCGTGCCGATGGACTTTGCTTCCGTTTCCCCACCAAGTACAGCCCCAGACACAAGTGTAATCCCCCTCAATTTATGGTTATTGTCGACAGTGAGAAGGAACCGCTGCCGAAAACCCTGTCGCTGGAAACCCTCTCATTAGTGTCCGACGATGCCATAACAACCAAACCACCAGACCAGTTCCTCGCCTTATCCACAGCTGCCTTCTATGGTCTTCCTTCCCCTCAGACTCTGCGTATTACTGGTTTCATCCACAACACACCCGTCAAAATTTTGGTTGACTCGGGGAGCACACATAATATCATCCAACCTCGAGTGGTCGCCGCCTTGAAATTAGACCACGACACCATCACCTTGTTTCCCGTGATGGTCGGTAGTGGGGATTATCTGCAATGCAATGACGTCTGCCCCAATTCGGAAATCCACCTTCAAAAACCCCCTTTTAAAATTCCATTCTTTATCATACCAGTCGAAGGTGCCGATGTAATTCTAGGGGTGGCATGGCTTAGTACTTTGGGCCCCATTGTGACAACTGGAAAATTTATAGAGCAAACGAGATCTAAACTTTAACCGTGTACGAGTGAGTTCACATCATAACATTAATGCAATAGAAATTTGAAAGCCACGAGGGCATGTTTATATAAGTTATTATGTGTATATACCTTGAAATTCATGATGAGATAAACTTTAGAAAGTTAATACAAGCTAACAAGACATCAAGAAATCAAAGGAGTCAACACAAGTCAAAATGATAAGTCTAAAAGCATGAAATTGTAAATTACTTTAGGGATTTCGGTTTGGGAATCTAGGAAACACTCCTAGACCGAAATCACTTCCTTTAAGGATGTTAGGACCGAAATCACCTTCATTGAAGCACACCATGACCGAAAACACCAAGTTTAGGCCCATTAAGGCCGACATCTCCAATACTTGGACCGAAATCTCCTTCTTGTTTGATGCCAAGACCGAAATCAACTTTAGGAATGGTACACTAGGTGATTTCGGTCATACCATGGCCGAAATGACCCCCATGTTAGCCGAAAACCCTTAAATATATAGGTAGTATTGCCACTTGATTACTGAGTTGTTTTCCCAAGAAGATAATTACACTTACCAAGGTATATGTCACCTCATCTTATCCTTCCCTTTATGTATATATATATATATATATATATATATATATATATATATATATATATATACACGAGTTAGGGACCATTCAAAACTTCATTTTCAGTAAACAATCTTTCACTTCATATTCTCTCAAGGACTCAAACTCATTTCCTTCCAAACTGAAAGATCAAACATCCCCTGGAGCTTTATTCTTCAAGTAAATTCCTTAGGAATTTTGGTAAGTGTTTCTTAAGTAATCTAGTGTTTATAAACATTTCATAATAATCCATTTTATTCACACATTAGTATGTGGTAAAACTCTTAGGATTCAATCATTTTCGAGTGCTCGTAACTTGAAGATCGTCGTCGTCATCTCATTATCCAACCGCAAACACACATAAGGTGAGTTCATACCACTACATTTTTCAAGACTTTTTCAATTTAAGAGGGGGGGGGGGGGAATACAAGTAACACACAAGAATATTTACGTTAAAACGCAAACATTTAAATACATTATTTTACCATTTTTACGAAAAGTGTTAAATACGCGAAACGGCTGTAATATCAAACGCGTAAATTTTAACGTACAACATTTTGATAAAAACGTAAAGATATGAAAAATGGTTACAAAATACACTACATTATTCTTATATATATATATATATATATATATATATATATATATATATATATATATATATATATATATATATATTACGAAACGTTCATTTCATTAAACTATATAAACATAGTTTACGAAACTTTACCCCTTTGTAACCCCTTGATCAAAGGGTAAAATTATATAAAGTACATATATAATTGTTTTATGGCATTTTCGATAT